AAAAAATGGATTTTATCATCCGTAATTCACTGGCTTGGGACCCATTCACGATAAGAATGAAAAGAACAAAAAATTGCATTTGTTTTGGTAAAAAAAAAACCGAAAAACCGAAAGGGCTGCTACGCGTTCAAAGTACCGCCGGACATCTGTCACAAATGCTGGCGACGGGGATGCTTCCACTTGGTTCTTGGAGTGCCCCACTAGAAACTCTTTCTGGCCTTCTGGCGGACTTCTTTCCATGCCCCGCCTTTGGCTCCGCGCCACTTACCTTCGATTGTCCATAGAGTGTAGTTTTTGTAGTTTGTTTCTCTTCGGAAACTGAATCTTTGTGCGTGAAACTTTGTATGTTGGAATTTCCGGGGAAGGATTCCTTTGAGGACACCCGCCGGTGGGCCACACGGTCGTCAAAGGGTTAACCACCAGTTGACACCAACAATAGGCGAATCACCAAGAAAAATCTCGATCTGCGGATATTCCAAAATGTAGAGGCAATAACATACATTGCTTCAGGCTATTAAAAACATATCGAACCGGATACTGGATCATTTTCCAATTTTTCTGAGTCACATATATCCTCCCTTTCAAAAAACGAGAAGAGCGTCGGGTGCAGACCATACACCACAAGTGACGACGGCCTCCAAGTAAATCTGGTTAGTAGTGGTTCATAGTGAGCTGTTTTTGGTAAATGATAGTTGTAATTAGTGACAACTGATAGAATACAACTGCAACAGGCTAATCATTTCATTGGCAGAAAACATTTACATTTTGTGGAGGCCGTCGTCACTTGTGGTGTATGGTCTGCACCCGACGCTCTTCTCGTTTTTTGAAAGGAAGAATACATATATGACTCTCTTCTTAACACGGATTGGAGCAGACCACATGGCTGCCCAAGGTTGTTACAGACAAGGGCTATTTATTAAATCGTTTCAAGGGATTCGAAACGCTGATAAATGACGTAGGTCGGGCACTAGAATGGACTTTCACGACCTTCGACTAATTTTGAATACGTAAGATAGTTTGATCCATATGGGAAGATTGGGTACCAGACATTAGGCCTATCGCGCGGCGAGAAGGCAGAGACGCAGACGAGTCGCAGCGCGTACTGTAGCAAATGCGCGTCAAGTGAAATGCATGCATTACAGTACGTCCCCACCACACAGCACGCGCTGCGACTCGTCCCATGTCTTCGCCCTCTCGCCGCGCCACGGGCCTCCTGTCGGGTTTCCGAGAAGGTCAGTGACAAAATAATGGAGATCATTAGAATATAATTGGAAGGCATAACTTAACTCTACCTGAATTTTCATATTGTACAAAAGATGACGATATGCCGAGATATTATGAATGATAAGGTCAATAACCACCAGCATCGTATCGTATTCAACATATTTGTCGACGACCTCACCGCAGCCTTGCTTGAAAATATATTTTTAAATGTTTCCACTTTCTTAGTTCAAAAATAAAAATAAAAAATATAAAGGTCGATGAAGAAAGGGATGAACGCGGCTCGGCCATTCGCTGCTAAACTGGCGCTGATCCCCACCAGCGAAGACAGCGGCGACAGGCTCACGCGAATTGAGCTCATTATCGTCAACTGTGAAAATGAGCGTCTCTTTCTGTCTACCATTCTGACCGTTCCGGTGGTTCCAGAGCGTCTTCTAGCTGTCTGAGCCTTTGACACTCGCCGCCCATACCTCAATCGTTTCAGTATTCGGCACGTTACATACCCATGCAAACATCGCTCCTCGCCGGTTGTTGTGCTGTGCGCTCTCAGGTGCACATGTTCTCAAACTGATGAATCACCGCACTCAATTCCAGCAAAACGACGCGCTTAATACTGTTATGCCACTTCTAGTGACGATATATCCTAGGAGTTGTGGAACTCACGCAAACTTGTGACACTTCTCAAAATACTCACCTCTGACAGCTAAGTCTGGTTCTGAACTCATAAAAAATTTCGCTTTGTTAGAAAATAGAAGCTAAGTTAGTACGCCTTTGGGATGCGACTGTTCAGTCTAGCGAGAAAAAGGGAGCGCACAGCAAGAAATGCAATCCTCTAGCAAATTATAAGCGAGCTACTCATTATTTTCTGCTCAGAACTACATGAAAACCTACCAGTCCGCACCGGAATAAGCACCCTCTGAAATATCTGGTACAACGAAGTGGACGGCTCCATGCAATTCACGCACATGTAATTCTTTTTGGACATCTCACTGAAGTTGTTAGTCTTCAAATTTTGTGGGATTCAAGTTTTTGTGAGAATATTTGATCAAAAAAAGTGTGAGAGTAACACTTCATACCAGAAAATAGACTTCATAAAGAAAACTATTTACAGAGATCATCGATACACAGAAAGATTGAGCAACGATGTATCATGTAATACAGGCTAGTGGAGCGGCAAAAACTGCGGCAGCAATCACTTTCTCGCGCCTTCAAAACATCTCCTAGAGAACTTGCAAAAAATGAAATACAAACATGCCCACGGAATGTTTTCTACTCAACACTACACGAAGAAAGTGATGTTACTGGCCTACAGATCACATTTGCTTATGCGTTCGAATTAGAAAAAGACAAGACAACAAACATAAGCCCTGAAACGAGTAATAATGGAATTAACAAGAGCCAAAAGACACAAAAGGCGAGTTATCAACTAGGGAACTCGTTAGACAATTTACGACGCTTCCGTACGATAAAATCCTCTTCCTCAGCCTCATTCTTAGCATTTTCTTTGATTGATTCATAGTACCTAAATAATAAATTACTGCAAATGCAGAAAAAGAAAACAGCAAATGAAAATCAACCTGATAACGTTTTTGTTGGCCCTAATAACAGAGGCGTCAAAAGCGATCACACGAAGTGAAGAGAGACTACGTGCTCTGGACAACGCCACGTATGATTGACCTTCAGCAAATACTCTGGAATATAGCGATCAAGGTTTTGCTACAAAAAAAGATGATTTCAGGTTTCTCCGATTCGTGTCGACTAGCGTAAGGCTGCAAAAGGCATGCGTTTCAAAAACTGATGTTTAGATTTTCATTGAATACTGCTATCTTTTTACAAGCAGACTTTGCAGAAACTATGTTTTGTGGCAACCGCTGAACCGGGTACCACCTGGATGTCATGGGACACTAGGAAAACCACAGTCCCAATGGTCAGGCTTCCTCACTGAAGCTTGGAACGAAAGGAATTAACAGTGAGCTTTTGATCGATGAACCCAAAGAAATACTCATTGTCAGGCAGGGGGCAGGAAACATTACTACCGTACATTCGGGGATGGCCCATTCGGAGAATGAAATGTGTTACAAGTGGTACTGTTTCCATGTGGAAGAATTGGTGGAAACTTTCATGATAGCGCCAGAATCACGAAATTTCAGAGAATTCTGAGAAAAAAGAAAGAAATAGCACCTATGAAATCCCTTTCTAACTTGACGTGAATTATGTAGTTAAGAAATTTAAAAGTTGCGCTCGAGCAAGCGATTCTAGTATCTGTTTATGATAAATTACATACTATGTTGCTAAAATAGTTCCCGAAGAAGAGAATTTCATTAAGCAAGTTGTTTTACAATATGACAATTTCAGTAAGGTTCCTGATTGGGTGAAATTTTAAACCGCTATTGTTTCGAGATATCATGTGCACATTTGTTTTATATCGTAGATACGCAGTCAATGAATTCGATCGAAATACAGCAAAACGACCACCTTTCAAGGCTCACTTCCACTGCGTCAAGGGTGAGCCCTTGAGACTTGTGGATTGAAATGGCCCATGCTAGCTGAAGCGGCAGTTGGCGACGGCAGGCTGGTTCATCATGACCAGGAATGCGAATCGCAAAACGGATGGGTGTCACCTATGGAGAACTATGTATTAGAAATTCTCACCGGGAGAGAAACAAAAAAAACCAACCTCTATTTCTTCGTGTGTTGCAGAAAACTTGACCATTGGAAATCCTTTCTTTGAGAATTTCGTGACAACCCCTCGCGAACCATTTGAGAGCCCACGTGTAAGATCGATGTTTTTCATCAGCATTACCTGGGAAAATTTCGTTGAAGAATGAAAAATTTATTTGCATAGGCTGCACACTTAGAAAAATCTTGCAATCTTGTGAAAAAAGAAGGAACAATCAATGATGGCCGGCTGTCTTGACAACCGTAGAAGAAAAAAGGGCCTATGGAAAACCAGTCGTGGGGATTAGTCGACCGGACTGATCACCACAATTGTAAAGTGAAGATGGCATAGAAAAAAGTGGCAAAAAGTGGCATTTCACGCCGCACATATGCAAGGCGTATGGGAATGAGCGTATTTGCCAGACCTTGAACTTCATCAGGTGTATCAAAATGTTTGAAACTATCGAAAGATAAAGTGCTGATGCGGGAGTAGAAAAGCCTTGGAATAAATAGGTTTCGAAATGCGCCACGCATTCCACTTCAGTTCACAATCGTAGAGACATATTGATTTTGTCAACACAATGGCTTGCGGGGCTAGCCGATGTATAAGGTAGTACTCCCAGACAAATCTGGAATTAAGCGACCCCGGAGGGATGGAGGGCATGGTTGACCTGCTCGACACATGAACCAGATTTGATCCCCGGACGCGTGCTAAGTATCGCAAC